CCCTTTCTGCCGCCGCGGGCAGCCTCCGCCACACACCCGCACATGCCCCGGGGACTGACCCCGGCCGACAGAGGACCGTTATGAGCTCCCCTCGGCGGCTCAGTGTCACACGCTCGCTGCTGCCAAGCACACTTCCCACACACACTTCCCTCGGGGCCGGGGCCAGGGCCGCTGGAGGACCTGACACACGCAGCCACGCTCCACGGAGGACTGTGCACACCGAGGGCACGCCCATCGGATCCGCTCACGGGGCTGGTTCCCGCGCCTCTGCTGGCGATGTGTGCGCACACACACACACACACACACAGCCTTTCCCCACACTCGGCTCATTTCTTTGCTCACACCTCCCAGAGTGTCTGGACACACCATCCCCTAGAGGCACGAGCACATTTACACGCTCCCCCAGAGCTAGCTGCCTTCACCCCCTGCGAGACCATAGCCCGTCAGGCACTGCCCGCCTCGCCAGAAACCTGAGGGTCACCCCAACCCATACCCATCCCCCCCAGCCCCTTCACGTGCCCACCACCACAGGAGTCGCAGTTGGAATTCCAGCTCCTGCTTTGCTGAGTGGGAAAGTAACCAAGTTGGGGAGTGTGTGTGTGTGTGTGTGTGTGTGTGTGTGTGAAATGCATGCATGATGGGGAAGTACTGGTATGTGGAATATGTGTGTAGTTTGGTATGTATGTGATTGTTAGGCGGAGAATGTGCGATGGTGGTGTGTAGTTTGATGTACTGTTAATTGTCTACATGGTACACATAGGTGATTCACACAACACATGCGACGAGGTATGTGTAGCACTGATTGTGTGACCAATGTAGAGTGTGGGTGGTGCTGTGTGGTAGTGCATGCGATGTGTGTGGTATGTGTTTGTGTGTGGTAGGTATGATTGTTACAGAGAGTGTATGCAATATGTGTGTGGCAGTGTGTTGTGAGTGACTGGCATCTCATGCCTGTATGGTAGATGTGGGTGATGTCAGGTGTGTGCAGTGTGTGCGTGCGGGCACACAAACAGGACTCCTGTTTGCAGTGGACTCTACCCCTTTGCATATTAATGCCCACCCTGGCCAGTAGGTGCGCTTGGCTGGATGGCAACTGCCGTTTCACCACACAATCAGCTTCCCTCCTTTCCTCCTGGGGACAAGTTGCTCCAAATAGATTTTCCATGCCAGCTCAGCTGCTGAGAACCCACCCTGAGCTGGATTCAGTGAAGAGAAAACAAACCATTTGCTCCCAGGGAGCACGGTTTGGGGAATTAGCCTTTCCCTGCAATAAGGCCAGAACCCAGTCTTGAACACAGAAAAGAAGACGACCTTCTCTTTTTTATTTGCCAAATGTTTTTCAGAGCAGAGGAAAATGCCTGTAATTGCCAAGGTTCAGGAGGTGGAAACAAAGCATTTCAGCATGAATGCTGTGTGGAAACATGTTTACGTCCAGATCCACTTTCTTGGTTACTTTATTCTTTTATTGCTTTGCACTCACAAGGAGACTCCTCACAGTTTGAAATAACCAAATTTATCTTCAAGTCCTGAATATCCTTGCTGCCATAAGCTAGCCAGATTTCATAATTTTTCTCTTTTATTTAAACTTGGCTTGAGATAGGAAATGTAATTTGCATATACCTGAATCTAGTGACCTCTTATTAGGGGTAGGGAGCTCAATTTGATGACAAAGGTGTTTTCAAGAAAAGATCTGAATTGAAATCATAAAAGATGGTTTCCCAATGAACCAGTGTCAAAACTGATATAAACAGGAAGCACCTTCAGCTTCCGCCCCAAGCACCCATCCCCACTCCTGAAAAAAATCCTAACAAAGTATATCCCTGACTCAAAATCTATCCATCCCAACTGTTAATTTCAGTTTGACCCACCCCAAAATAACATGAGTAAAAGGAAAAGAAAACTTAGTGAAAGGAATCCATAATCCATTATTGCTGCAGTAAGCCAACCAAGAATTTTTCAAACAAAAGGAGATTCCCATCTATCCTACCCATTTTCCTCTTCCCCAACCCATAACCTCACTTTAATACTGTCCAAGGCCTTTTAAGAGAATCTTTTCAGGATTTCAGCAACTAATACTTGAACAGAATCCCGTACTGTAGGGTGAAGTATGTCTACTATATGTGAAACATACTATCGCAACTAGTAGAATGTGAACAGGAGGAATAACAGAGAACCTTAGCAAGGGGAGAGGTAAAGTACCAAACTATTCTATTTAAGACATATGATGTGTAGCTGCAAAATCTCTATTTTTTCTATAACACAAAACTCATTCTGCCCCATTGCCTAAAGATGTTATTAACCTTTATTGTCTGCAGTGGAGCAGGAGGAGATAAGAGTCCTGTGAGCTCTCAAATACACAGTCTTCATGGTGTTTTTTTCAGGAGGCAAGATTTTTAAGTTTTACTATGGAAAATAAAACATATAAAAAGTCCAGAAACTAAGTATAATGAACCCCCAAGTACCCATCATTTAGTTTCAATAATTATTAACTCATTTGGAAAATCTCATTTTATCTATGTCTTCCCACTCCTAACCCCCACCCTGCCACTGAATTATTTTGAAGCAAAACTCAGCATCCTATAATTTCATCCATAAATATTTTAGCATCTATCTCTAACGGAACTTTTAAAAACCATAACCCACAATGCCATTATCACATAATGACTGCAATTTAATCATAAATAAGACATTCTCCCATAGCTTCTTAGCACCACTTCAGCACACCCCCTCCCCCAGCCCTGCTTAAGAATACCATCCTTTCTGCTTGTAATTTTCCTCTTTTCCCCCTTTTTTCTGCCCTGCCTATCTCTTTGGCCTGTGTGCTACTTCCTCAGAGATACTTTCTATGACCAGCCCAGGTTAAATTTTATATAGCCCCTTTTCATATCACTCAACTTTAAACAAATGGTTAGAAGAATTGTTGAACTAATATCTTCCTCCATCCCCTCACTTCCTTCCTCAAACTGCCAGTTCCTTGAGAGCAGGTGCATGTCCTCTGTCTTGTTCACAGTGTTGTCTCCAGGACCTAGCAAGAACAATAAATAGTTGTTGAAGGAGTAAAAATTATTCCATCTCAGACTACCCGCAGCTGGGAAAAGTCCATCTGAGTTAAATCGTTAGCAAATATGTATGAATAATTACTCTTTCTATAACTAGGCCCTTGAGAGTTCCTTCCCACATTGACTCTGAGGTTAGCTGTGTGTATTAGTTACGTATTACTGCTTAACGACTCACTCCCAAATTCAAACATGCAGTCTCTGTCTGTCAAGGACCCAGGTAGGACTTAACTTGGTCCTCTACTCAAAACTGCTCACAAGGTTGCCTGGAGGTCATTGAACGGAGCTGCCATCTTCTCTATTCTGAGGAAACTCTTCCTCCCAGCTCACTCACTGACTGGATGTTGGCGGCATTCCATTCCTTTGAGAACATTTGGTCTGAGTGTCTCAATCCTTCACTGGTTATTGGCTGGAGCCCTCAGTTCCTTCCCATAGGGCAATTCACATATGGCATTTTGCTTTATCAGAGCAAGAATGAAAGTCAGAGAAAGTGTCAGTCTTTAATAACCTAGGCTCAGTAATAATATGCCATACTTGTGTCATATTCTACTTGTTAGAAACAAGTTACTAGGTCCAATCCTCACACGAAAGGAGATCACACAAAGTCAGGAATACCAGAAATTAGGAAACTTCCTACCATGTTACTTTCTCCAGCCAATAAAGAATAGCAAAGATGACTTTGTAGAGATTTCTAGAGGGTATATTCACTAGGGCTTGCTCTTGCTTTCTGTGCTTGGAATCCTGTAATCACCAGGTGTACAAGACTGAGCAAGCACACTGAAGGATGAAATGTTTTGAGGAGAATGGAGGTCCGCAGCTGATAAGTAGCCAGTCCCAGCCAATCCCAGCATCCACTACAACTATCAGCAGGGTAGATTAGATCATCCAAGGTTCACAGCTGATCACAGAAGATTGAGTCCAGCAGAGATCAACTGAGTCAGCCCTAACCATCAAAAAAAAAAAAGGGGGGGGGTAAACTACAGCACCACGAGCTACATGTCAATTGGTGATTGTTCTTTGCTGCAAGATTTGGGTGGTTTCTTACATAATAATGCCAACTGATATCACTCACCAATCTTGTCATCTTGTAGACAAGTAGTTGCAGATTCAAGAGGCTAAATGGTCACAGTGCAGCAGGCATTATACCTTGCAACAGAACAATGCAGATGGTTCAAGAACATACTTTGTCATTTTCTGACTGGGAGATGTGGGCAAATCCCATATGCTCTCTGGGTTCCAGTTTCTTTATCAGCAAAACAAAACAGAAGGTTTTCTAGAACATCTTTACCACTCAAAGCTACGGCTTGTCCGCTTCATTATGGATCGAGCTAGAATTAGAATCCCTTTTGTTCGGATGTTGTTTGTAAATAGTCCAATATTCCCTTCCCATTCCATTCCACATATTTGTCTAATGCTAATGTAAGTTATGTCTATGCATACCAACCATTCTGAACACTTTGATAAATCGAGTCATTACAAATCAGTTACTTTTTGGTTGCTTGATTGAACCAAGCAAGTAATTCCACCATGCTTATAAATAACCTGCTAGTAATTGGTCAATTTGTCATATTAAAGCAATTAGAAAGATGAAGTGGATGGAGAAGCTCCCAATGAGGTGCAACTAAATTAGGAGTCTTCTGTGAGGAGGGAGGGTGGAGCTTCAGCATTGCTGCGGGCA